CCGCAGCTGAGTTCAACCACCGTTTCTCCTACCACTCGAGAGCCAATGACACAGACTTTTCTCCTGAATTTCACCCTAGGTAAGGAGCCTGAGAGGATACAACTAGTTGTAACCTAATCTTCCTCCTCCTCCCCTTCCTTCCTTCCATCCATCCGTCTATCCATCCATCCATCTTCTCCCTCTCTGTTTCCAATTCTATCTTTCCTTTGCTTTCTTTTTCTTATCCATACCTTTCTTCCTTTCCTTTCCCTTTCCTTCTCCTTTACTCCTTCTCCTCTCCTTCCTTTGCCTTCCTTCCTTTTCTTTCCCTCCTTTCCTTCCCTTCTCCTTCATCCTTTCCTTCTCCTTTCTTTCCTTCTTTCCTTCTCCTTCCCCTTTTCCCTGCCTTTTTTCCTTCTCATTCCTCTTCTCCTCAACCCTTCCTTCCTCCCTTTTCCTTCCTTCCTTCCTTCCTTCTCCTTCACTCTTTCCTTCTCCTTTCTTTCCTTCCTTCTCCTTCACCTTTTCTCCTTCCTTCCTTCTCCTTTTCCCTGCCTTTTTTCCTTCTCATTCCTCTTCTCCTCACCCCTTCCTTCCTCCCTTTTCCTTCCTTCCTTCCTTCCTTCTCCTTCACTCTTTCCTTCTCCTTTCTTTCCTTCCTTCTCCTTCCCCCTTTCTCCTTCCTTCCTTCTCCTTTTCCCTGCCTTTTTTTCCTTCTCATTCCTCTTCTCCTCACCCCTTCCTTCCTCCCTTTCCTTTCCTTCCTTCTTTCCTTCCTTCTCCTTCACCCTCTCCCCTCCCTTCTTTCCTATTCCTTGTCACCCTTCCTTCCTTCTCCTCACCCCTTCCTTCCTTTCTTCTTTCCATCCCTCCCTCCCTCCATCTTTCCTTCTCTTTCCACTCTTCTTCTCTCTGTTCTCCTTCTCCTCACCCCTTCCTTCCTTCCCTCCTTCCTTCCTCCTCCTTCTCCTTTTCCTCTTCCTTCTTTCCTTCCCTTTCTTTCTTTCCTTCCTTCCTTCCTTCCTTCCTTCCTTCCTCCTCCTTCTCCTTTTCCTCTTC